CTTGTTATCCTCCCTTCTAAGGTATATTCTTTCAAACTCAAGAATCAATGCATGAACTTTACATTTCTAAGGATAAAATGAAATTGAATATTTTTATCCATTTCCTTATCCCATTGGAAGCCCTCATCTTGCAATATTTTGGTGTCATCAAGTCAGTGGTTGTTATTGCCAAGAAACAGCTGGTAGATTTGAATGAACTGCCAACTGTGTGGTTAGCAATTTAGTGCTGATCCTACAGTGCTACACCAGGACTCCTTATATGTTCTTAAGGTTGAGTAAAAAAAGCATCAAGTCGGTGGTTGTTAGTGCCCAGATGGTGTCATCAAGTCAGTGGTTGTTATTGCCAAGAAACAGCTGGTAGATTTGAATGAACTGCCGACTGTGTGGTTAGCAATTTAGTGCTGATCCTACAGTGCTACACCAGGACTCCTTATATGTTCTTAAGGTTGACTAAAAAAAGCACAGAAAAATAAGTTCAAAATGTTACAGTATGGTGTTATTTGATTTTTAGAAAATCACAAGCCAATATGATCAATATGAAATTGTGTAGAGAGCATCTTTGGTAAGGATTGAAACCAGATTGGTTTGCAGTGATCCCTTCTGGGGAGGAGACGTAGTAGATCAGGACTCAAAGAAATTTTGGTAATACTGTGAATTTTAATTCTTCCAAGTAACAATATTGGTTTGAGCTTAGAGAATAATCTTGTAAAGGTAGGTCTTTCTAATAGAGTCATAGTAGACTCATGAGCCATAGTAAGGGCCTGCTAAAATTTATGCTTCAATGTACTTTTATAATCATTTTTCCAATTTTTTATTTTTACTTTTTGTGAATTGGGTAAGTTTACAGAGCAGGCCATCAGTTTTACGTTCAACAATTCATACACATTTTGCTTCAACACAGACTGCAGTTCCAACAATGTAGCATTATTTATCCCACTTCCTCACTGGTTCCTGCTTCTGTAGCCCTTCCAAACTTTGTCTTTGAGTAAATGCTGCCGTTTCACCTCAGATGGTTGATGATCTCAACACTGTTATTGTTTCCCTTATACAACTGGCTATCATTTGTCAGAAAATTGAGCCACAGGGGTGAGTTCAGTCCCAGGCCTGAAGGGTGCCCAAGGACCATAGTCTTGTGGGTTCCAGCCATCTCTGTCCAACCAGTAAGCCTGGTCTTTTTTATGATTTTGAGTTTTGTTCCACATTTTCTCACACTCTCTCCATGACTTTCTAATATGATCCATTTCAGAGCAGATGGTACTGGTAACTGGATACCATCTAGTTCTTCAGGTCTCAAGATTGTGGAGGCTGATGTCTGTGTGGGCCATTGGACTAATTATTGCCATGTATCTTTAATTTTCATCACTTATCTTTCCCCTTGACAAAGAGACTCCTCTTATCCCTTATGGATATATTCGAAGTAGAAGGATTGTGGGGTCCTAAGGTATTTCAGTTTCCAACTTTCTGAGGAAGCACCATACCTATTCCCTGAATGGTTAAACAATTTTATTGTGCCATCAGCAATGTAGGAGGGTCCAAGTCTCTCCAAACTGTCACTGACGTTTGTTTTGTTTTGTCTTTTGGACTTCGCTATTAATGTTGGTGTGAGATGATCTCTCGTTGTTTTGATTTGCATCTCTCTAAAGGTTAATGATCGTGAACATTTCTTCAGATGTTTGTTAGCTGCTTGAATGTCTTTCTTGGTGAAGTGTCTTTTCATGTCCTGTGCCCATTTTCTAATTGGGTTGTTTGTCTTGTAGAGGTGTTGTATTTTTCTATGATTTTGAGATTAATCTCTTAATCCGATATGCCATTGCAAAAAAAAAGAATTCCCCAAGCTGTTGGCTCCCTTTTCTTTTGATACATTCAAGTGTCTGGTTTTCAGGAGGCCACAGTCATCTATTTAGTCTTGTGTTTGTGTATTTTTAGTAATGTTTGATAGTGAACTTATACCATGTATTAGCACCCTTAAATTGGTCCCTAAGTTTTCATTGATGATCTTTATAGTTCTAGGTTTTACGTTTAGGTCTTTAATACACGTTGAGTTTAGTTTTGCATATGGTGTGAGATAGGAGTCTTCTGCATTCTTCTACAAAGGATTTCCAGTTTTTCCAGCGCCTCTTGTTGAAGAAACTATCTCTTTCCCATTTGTTGTATTCTAGCCCTTTGTCAAAAATCAGCTGACAGTATGTAGATGGATTTACTTATGGTTTCTCAACTCTTACATTGATCTATATATCTTTTGTTGTATCACTAGTTGGCTGATTTGATCAGTGTGGCCATTTAGTAAATTTTGAGATATGAGAGAGACATCTACCTTTGTTCTTCGTCTTAAGCAGTGTTCTGCTTATCCTGGGTCTCTTTCCTTTCCATATAGAGTTAAATCATCATTTTTTCCATCTTTTTAAAAAAATGATTTTGGAATCTGGATTGGTATTGCATTAAATCTGTAGATTACTTTGGGTACTGTTGACATATCACATATTGCAGTAGGCAAATCTGCCTAAGACCTCTTTAAAGTGCTGAAGAGCAAAGATGTAAGTTTGAAGCCTGACCCAAATCACAGTATTTTCAATAACCTCATATGCATGTGAAACCTGGACAGTGAATAAGGAAGACCATAGAAGAATTGATACATTTGAATTATGGTGTTGGAGGAGAATACTGAAAGTGCCATGGGCTGCCAAAAGAACAAACAAATCTGTGTTGGAAGAAGTATAGCCAGAGTGCTTCTTGGAAGCCAGGATGGCCAAACTTCGTGTCTCATACTTCGGACATATTATAAGGAAGGACCATTCACTAGAGAAGGATATCATGTTTGGGAAAATGGAGAGTCAGAAAGAAAGAGGAAGACCTTCAATGAGATGGTTTGGCACAGTGGTGGCAGCAATGAGCTCAGGTGTAGCAATGATCATGAGGTTGTACTGGGACTGGGCAGTGTTTCGTTCTGTTGTGCACAGTGTTGCACAACAGACTTGATGGCAGCTAACGACAGCAAGAAGTCTTCTTCCTATTCATGAGTGTGGTATATTTTTCCATTTTTGTAAGTCTCTTTGGGTTTCTTGTAGTAGTGTTTCATTTTCTTTGTATAAGTCTTTTGTTTCTTTAGTGAGCTTTATTCCTAAGTATTTTGTCCTTTGGGTAGCTGTTGTAAATGGTATTGTTTTTGAGTTCCTTTTCAGAATAGGTATCTTTATTATATGTAGGAATGCAGATGATTTTTGTATATTGTCTTGTTCCTCTTCACAAAGGGAATGCTTTCAGTTTCTCCTTATTGAAGGTACTCACCCCTTGTCTCCTGGTGGGTATGATAGGTAATGTGATTGTGTACACTGCTCTCTATTGGTTGTTCATATAGCATAATTGAGGGTAGGTTTGATTGGTGTTAGTGGCTGTCTATAGATGATCAGGTGGTACAGGTGCTGGTTGTGATCTTCACCCAGTAAAATGGGACTGCAGGAGGTATGGGTGTGGTTGGGCTATGTAAGTATGGTTGCTGTCTCCTGTCTGGTGGGACAAGAAAAAAGAAAGTTGGAGGGCAGACAAAAACAAACAAGAGCAAAAATTAAAATAATAAATATAAAAATCAAGTAGGGGAAAGGAAGCCAACAATAGCAACAAAAAATATAGTTTAATAACTAGAAATGAAAATAAAAACAAGGGAAGAGATAAAGAGAGAATAAAAAAATGAAAAAATATAGTAAACAAAATTAGGAAAGAGAGATTGTTGTTGTTAAGTACTGTTGACTGTATTCCAATTCACAGTGAACCTATATAGAATTTCTGAGGAGTGGCTGGTGAGCTTGAAATGCCACCTTGCAGTTCAAACTTACCTTGCTGTCCAGTGCATTAACCCACAGTGCCTTACCAGGACTCCAGGAAAGAGAGAAAGTAAAGAAAAAAAACTAATTGCAAAGATAGAAAGGAGAAAAAAGGGAAGTGGAATGAAAAGAGAAACAGGAAAAGAAAGGAAAAATAAAAAGCAGAGAAAGAAAGCATAAAACCCTATGGACTGGGAAAGAAAAGAAAAGACACAAAGAAAGGAGGGAAATAAGACAGGAACAGGACCCAGAGAGGCAAAAACTGAGGGAGCAGAATAACAGGTGTGGTTTGGCATCCTCTGCCAACCAAGCAACTCATGGGGGTGAGGGAGGTAAAGCTATTGAACACCCAGTCCTAGATTGTGTTCCTACCTGCCTAGATGTTGTGTGAGGTTAGGGCACCCCATTCTGGAAGTAGTTTTTGCCAGCTCAGAAGGTGTAGCTTGAGGTTCTTAGCTTTTCAGGGGTGGCTGAGCTGGGTACTGCAAGTTCTGCTGGTCTGATGAGGCTGAATTCACATACCTCCAGACATGGGGGGGATGTACCAGGCTCCTGAGTCACAAGGGTATGACTCTGACCTCAGCCAGAGCAGGGACTGTGCAGGTGTGGGGTTGTCACTAGCCGATGGGTGGGTAGAGCCTACCTATGTTATGGTCACCAGGAGTGTATGGGCAACAAGGGAGCATTCTATCTTTCTTGTCCCCAACCAATGTGTGTGTTTCTGTTCAGGGCCACGCTGTCTTGATCCAGCGCTGCTTGGCAAAAGTTCGAGATGACTGCACCATGTCAGGCCAGCTGAAAATTGTACTATCTTACCCTTTTGTTCAGCTTTTTTTCTAACTGGTATTTTATCCATTTTTCTGCCCTTTTCTCTGAAGCTTAGTGTTCCAGGATTATTATTCTTCCCGGTTTCATTTGAGTTCTTGTGTCTGTTGAGGGTCTGTGTAGCGTGTCCGCCTAATCCACTGTCTTGTTACCATCATAACCTTCTGCTGTTTTTGCAATTCTTACTTTATAGTTAAAGTATAGCTTTTACACACAAAGCCTTATTCTTAAATATGATCTAAAAGTTTGGTTTGTTGTCTGACTTGCAGTCTGGCTACTGAAATTTTTCATGATATCTTAGAAAAAAATGAAGGCTATTTCCATGACTAGTTAATTGAAACATACTTCTTTTTGCAGACCAACTCTACAAGAAGAAAGGAAAATTGTAATAAAAAATGGCCGACACCCTGTGATTGATGTGCTGTTGGGAGAACAATATGTTCCCAATAGTACAAATCTTTCAGTAAGTACCATATCATGTAAGACGATACAAGTAAATATGATAATATGGATCGCAAACATTTAATACAAAATGAATATTTTTATTACTTAACCAGGCTTTAATTTTGTCTTTCAGTGGACTAACCCTGTGGTACATTTTCATATTTGCAAGTATGTAGTAGTTCATTTCTTATAATGAAAGATTTTCTAGAGACAAGAAGGCTTACGAATGAAGACTTAGTCATGATTAGTTATGTTTACAATTTTTATTTTACAAAGTATTTTGATTTACAAAGGCCCAAATCTACTAATGGGATTAGAATCATGCCATAGTTTTACAAATTCTGCATTTAATTATGGTATTCTTTGCTTTGTCCTGTGTTCCACTGTTTTCAAGTGCCCTGTGAAAGAATCAGAGGCCCCTCAAGCTGGTTTCAGGCATGAGAATTTTTCTCATATAGACTAGAACTCTGTTATAAAACATTATTGCTTAGGTTACAATGTATCAGTTGAATAAATCTATGTGCTCCATGAATATAGATTCATTCAACCTGTACTTACTTAACAAGGGATATCGTTACTGACATCAGGTAAGTATTGGCTGAAAGTAGAGAATACCAGAAAGATGTTTGCCTGTGCTTTATTGACTACACAAAATGCTTTTGATTGTGTGGATCATGACAAACTATGGATAACAATGCAAAGTATGAGTATTTTGGAACACTGATGGCGCCTAACAACAACATATGCATAAGGAAGTTGGACAATGAGTAAGGAAGACTGTAGAAGAATTGATGCAGTTGAGTTATGGTGTTGGAGGAGAATCGTGAAAGTACCATGGACTGCCAAAAGAACAGATAAATCTGTTTTGAAAGAAGCACAGCCAGAGCACTCCGTGGAAGCCAGGCTGGCCAGACATCATCTCTCATACTTCGGACATATTATCAGGAGGGACCAGTCACTGGAGAAGGATATCATGTTTGGTAAAGTGGAGGGTCAGAGAATAAGTGGTGACAGCAAGGTGGAATGGCACAATGGCAGCAGTAATGATTGTGAGGTTGGCCCGGGATCAGGCAGTGTCTTATTTTGTTGTGCATAAGGTCGCTGTGAGTTAGTACCAACTCGAAGGCACCTGACAAGCAAAGCAACGGATAGAGTAAAGCAAGACAAACATGTTTCTTGTCTTTAAATAGCTTGTGGTCTAGCACAGAAGATAGGCAATTACAATCAAGTTGGTATATGAAATGATATAAGAAGGGAGTACTGTGACTCTGTAGGATAAACACTGGACTTCTAACCACAAGGTTGGTGCTTCAAGCCCACCAGCTGCTGCATAGGCGATAGATGAGGCTTTCTGATCCCACAAAGACGTACTTCCTAAGAAACCCTATACAGGGTGGTTGTGTGAGTTAGAAATGACCTGGTGACGCCTAAGAATAACAACAACAATGATACAGGAAAGCATAGTGTCATGGGAGCACATAATAGGTTGATCTAACCCAATGTAGGGGGTTCATTAAGGATGGTTTTCCAGGAATGGGATAATAACTAAAAAATGAGTAACCTCAAGCTAGGAGACTGGAAGAGAGTATTCCAGCTAGAGGAACCAGCATGGAAGAGGTTTGACAGGAGGCAAAGTAGAGTGAATTCAAGAAACTCAAGATGTTGAGTAAGGTTGAAGCATAAAAGAAGTATTCAGAGGTAAGGAAGAGGCCAATAAATTTATATTCCCTACTAAGAAGCAGGCATTATCATACAGGACTGAGAATACTAGCAAGATAATGACTTAAGCTGGGGGAAAAGAGTAAATCTGGGCTTGAGAGGTAATGTTACATAGATTGTTTATTGTTGTGCTGTCGAGTCAGTTCTGATCCATAGCGACCCTGTATAGGGTTTCCAAGGAGTGGCTGGTGAGCTTGAACTGCCAACTTTGCAGTGCAAGCCAACTTTTCAGTCCAGCACATTAACCCACAGTGCCATACCAGGACTCCACAAAAACACGTGGCTCTAAGATCAAAGAGGTAACGTGTAGGGAGTTAACCGGTTCCACAGCACTTAAGAACAATAGTATGTATCAGAGACTGCAGTGCTAAAATTTTTTTAATTCAGAGGTGGAGCTATTCTAGATGATGGCAAGATGTTGGGTATGGCTATAGAAGTGAGTAGTGGAAGTGGAAAAGATCTTTGGAGATGAGGACATCAAAAACAGCCTTTCAGAGTCATCATGTGACTGGTGATGTCATCTAAGATAAGAGAGAACCTCTGGAGTGCATGGGGAAGTGTCCTGCAAAGAGCTCAGCCTCCAAAGGAGAGCATTGTAGTGGAAGTAGGAGATAGCCAGTGTGTGAAGGAAATGTCAAACAAGGTTAGAAACACAGAAGTGTTGGAAGATTTTTCTGAGGATAGTGGAGATCTCTGGTAGTGTAGTGGTTACGAATCGGGCTGCTAACCTCAAGGTCGGCAGTTTGAAACTACCAGCTGTTCCGCAGGAGAAAGATGAAGCTTTCTGCTCCTGTAAAGATTTGCAGCCTTGGAAACCCTGTGCAGGGTCACTATGAGTTGGAACCGACTCCATGGTACTTAACAACAACAACAAGTGGCAAGGATTGAGATTAGAGGAGCAGTTGGAGATTGGTCAGAGAAAAGAAGCTCAGAATAGTAACAAATTTGAGTATATAAGAGTTCTGTCCAAATGGTAAATTTGGCCCATTGGTGGTAAGGGTAGTTTAATGTTGTTGTTGTTAAGTGCCATTGAGTTGGTTCTGACTCATAGTGACCCTGTATACAGTTTCTGTGGAGCAGTTGGTGAGTTTGAACTGATGATCTTGCAGTTAGCAGTCTTACAGCATCGCTCCAGAACACCAGTTTAGTGTTACATGGCAATATGATACAAAGACTTGTTGGTTTTACATAACTTGGTACCAAATATCTATACATTTATAATTCTTATTGTTGTCAGGGACGGTTAAGTTTATTCTGACTCATAGTGACACTGTAAAAGGTTTCTAAAGGCTGTATATCTTTACTGGAGTGGAAAGAGCAGAAAGTCTCATCCTTTTCCCATGAGCAGCTGGTGAGTGTGAACTGCCTACCTTGTAATTAGCAGTCCAATGCTTATCCTACAGCACAACCAGCTTTGTAATTCATATTTGGAAATTTGTTTATTACTTTAATATAGCAAAGCAAGGTGTTATTGATGTTGAGTGCCGTTGTTCTGATTCATGGTGACCCTGTGCTCAACAGAACAAAATACTTCCTGGTTCTGTGTCATCTTCACAGTTGTGGCTATGTCTGAGCCCACTTGTGCTGCCATTGTGTCAGTCCATCTCATTGGGGGTCTTCTTCTTTTTAACTGACCCTCCACTGTTCCAACCATGGTGTCCTTCTCCAGAGACTGGTCCCGTCTGTTAACTTGTCTGAAGTATGAGAGACGAGGTTTCACCATCCTTGTCTTAAAGGAGCATTCTGGCTGCATTTCTTTCAAGAATTTGTTTGTTTATCCCGCAGTCCACAGTACTTTCAATATTCTTCGTCATCATCATAATTCAAATGCATCAGTTCTTCTGTGGTCTTTTTTATTCGTTGTCCAACTTTCATATGGACATGGGGCAATTGAAAATAACATGCATGGCATGGGTAATGTGCACCTTTGCCCTCAAACTGATGTCTTTGCTCTTTCACATTTTAAAGAGGTCTTTTGCAACAGATTTGCATAATGCAGCATGTTTTTTCCTTATTTCTTGACTGCTGCTTCCATGAGTATTGATTGTGGACCCAAGTAAAATGAAGTCTCTGACAATATCAATTTTTCTTCATTTATCATAATGTTTATTTATTGCTCCAGTTGTGAGGAGTTTTGTTTTCTTTTCATTGAGGTACAGTTTATACTGAAGATTTTAGTCTGATCTTAATCAGTAAGTGTTTCAAGTCCTCTTTGTTTTCAAGATTCTACCATCTGCATATCGCAGATTGTTAATGAGTGTTCTTCCAATCCTGATACCACATCTTTCTTATATAATCCAGTTTCTCGGGTTATTTGCTCAGCATAAACATTGAATAAATACAGTGGAATGATAGAACCTTGGTGCTTACCTTTCTTGATTTTAAACTATTCATTATCCCCTCTTCTAATGACTGCCTCTTGGTGTATATATGTACAGGATCCCCATGAGCACAAAGAATTACTGTGGAGTAACCATTCTTTGCAATCTTATCCATAGTTTGTCATGTTACGCACTCAGAAGCCTTTGGATAGTCAATAAAGCAAAAATAAACATCGTTCTGGTATTCTTTACTTTCGGCAAAGATCCATCTGAAGCTAGCAATGATATCTCTGGTTCCACATCCTCTTCTGAATCTGGTTTGAATTTCTGGCAGTTCTCTGTTGATTTACTGTTGCAGTCACTTAAAAATTAACTGCTTCAAAATTTTATTAAGATGTGATTTAATAATGATTTTATTTGATGGTTTCCACATTCTGTTGGGTCACCCTTCTTTGGAATGGGCACAAATATACACCTCTTTCAATTAGTTGGTGTGGTAATTCTTCCAAATTTCTTGGCATAGATGAGTTGTATCAGTTTGTTGAAACAATTCAATTTGTATTCTGTCAATTTATGAAGTCTTGCTTTATACCAGTGTTAATGCAGCGTGGACTTCTTCCTTACTAACGTTGATTTTTGATCATATGTTACCTCTTGAACATTGACCTTTTTTTTGTTGTTTTTGAAACTTCATTGAGAATCAAGTGAAGATTTATAGAGTGGATATCAGTTTTACATTTGGCAAATCATATATTTTGTTTCCCTAGCTCAGTGATTGCAATTCTTTCTATGTAATGACATTGATCTCATTTCCTCCCTGTGATTCCTTTTTCCATTTCCCATTCCTTTCCAACCCCTCTGAACCTTGTCCTCAGGTAAATGTTACCCTTTTGATCTTCAAGAGGTGACCGTTCTGTGGTGAGCCTACCTCTAGTGTTGTTCCCCTACCCTACTCCCTGTACACTAATCCACCACTTAG